TATATATATATATATTAACGGTTCACTTGAGGGGCCACAAAATATTAAGTAATCATAAGGTAATGAGGGACGACTGAGTGACTAATCAGAATGTATCTCTAATTGGGGTACACATAAAAAGTAACTATTGTTTAGGTAATTAGTAATGATTGAGCATTACTAGTTTTGTGCCGTTCTGGTTCAGAGTTAATGAGGAACAAGTCCTAAAGAATAAACAAAGTGCTCAGTATGATAGATTCATAGATATATATGATCTAACCGTCACCTAATAATTAATTAATATAGGCTCTTCCAGTCGTTTCTCCAGTAACTGATCATTATCTACTTCTCATCATTAACAATTATTACAGTTCTTAATAACTAATTATTAATTATCAATTATTTCCTGATTTGTTCCTCACTCGTTTTTTTATTAACTAATCATTAGCTACTCTATGAAATCTGAATTTGAGTTACTCATTAATTAATGGTTCTCTAGCAGTTAGTTTTTCATTCGTTCCTCATTTGTTCCTTTATAATTATTGAAAATCTCGTGGTCCTTACTGTAAAGTGTTACCAGTGAGTCTTATATTCAGGTGGACACTAATGACAACATATCTATTGATATTTTATTCCATTTCTGCCATTAGATCCTTTCTTGACTTTTAAGAATTCACTCTATACTACTACATGTGATCAAGGACACTAAAGAAAGGAACATCAGTACATTTTATTGAACTCTCACTGTGACTACTGTGAAAACAACTTTTATCTATCTGGAAAAAATGGTCCAAAGCTTTTCTGCATGTGAACATGCTACACTAGGTATGCTGTTGTTTGTATTGTGTTGTTGTTTAGGTCATATTTAAGACTCCTCTTATCTAATTAAACTTGTTTGTCAAATATCAAAATTGGAATAGATTGGGGAAATGTTAAAAACTTAACTGAACCAATTAAAAGAATAATCTCACCAAACACGGCACTTGTCTGTCCCAGAACAGCCAAGACAAACACCACAGCTGGAGTCATCATCCTGTGTAGCCGATTCACAACGTTTCTATAGAAAAACACTGGTTTAATGTACACACCTGAACTCTAGCCAACTCTACAATTTCCATCTGTATGCACTAATGGTTAATGGCTGGATTTATTTAACTTACTATACAAATATTACTGCAAAGTAATATGTTTATCACATTATTTGTGCTTATCTGAACATGCACAAATAATGCACAGAACTTTATTAGTTATACCTCTCTCTCAAGTATTCTCCTTTTAACCTAGAACAGTTTCAGAAAAAATAATTAACTGACACATTTTGATCCAGTTTACCCTTGTAGCATCCCCATCCTGATACATCAATTTTGTATATGTGTATATTTTATGCACCAACTGCACCAGGTCACATTCCTCGCAGGCGTAAAAACCTACTTGGCAATAAACAAAATTCTGATTCTGATTCTGAAAGTCCCAAATATGAATAAACAAACATGAAAAAGAAAAATAGGGACATGACCACAAAAACAAAAAATAGAAAATCCATGAACATCGGTTTCTTTCAAGCATGATTAAACTAGACTAGACTAAACTCTGCCTAAACATGAACAAATGTGTATCAACTGATTAACAGTATATAATGTCCACCCTATAGCTCTGAAGCACATTGACAAATGCCTTAAATCTTTTTAAATATAGCATAGCAATAACCCAAATACGGCAATAATTATTGCTGTGTCATTGTTTAACACACGTCATGTTTTAACACCATTGCTGGGAATAGTAGGTATTTTATCAGCTTTCCAAAGTGTTGCTTTTTACCTTTTCAAACTGCTTATTACACTCAAATTTTAAACCATATAATTTACAATTACAAAACATTACAAGACATTCTTATTGTTATTATCAAGATATTTATTATGTGATAACTACTTTGTCATTACCAAGCTGTAATGTATGAAAATTACATATGGTGTACAACAAAAATAAAAATCAGGTCGAACAGTAAATCTACCAATGGCCTACCTGGAAGCTCTCAAGCAGTGTGGAAGCATCTGGTGTCTGCATGTGTACAGACAGTAGTTCTTGTATACTTTGGCAGAGAATGACTGTTTGATTAGGCGCATCCTGGTTAAATACTGTTTTTACTTTTGTATCCGGATATATAATATCAATGTTCCTGTTGGATCGCATGTCACATGAGATTGTCATGCTTGAAAGAAATCCATGTTTATGTAATTTCTCTGTTTTGTTTTTTGTGGTCATGTCCCTATTTTTTCTTTCTTATGTTTGTCTATT